CATCATAATTGTCCTTGAAAATTTTCTTAGTCTAAAGGAAATATAAGGTAATGTGGCTTTGATTAGGTGCTGATCACAAGTCAAGTTCCAGATGTGGTGATGAGCTTGTACATGCATTGTTATTAAGGCTCAGCCTATGCATGGCAATTTACCAGTCCACAGCATGTTATCGTATTTGTAAGATCAAAATCTTACATGGATAGATGAAGCCTATGCAAAATTGGAATTATTGTAGTAGGAGACAAGAAAGGTGAGAAGCTGAATATCTACTCAAAGCTAAGCTAAAAACCTTTTTAGTTTCTTGTGTCTTTCATACGTGTGTTTACTTGTTTTCAGTAAGGTAAAAGCACTGTTAAAGCTACAACAAAGGCTATTTTTGTACTGCTTCCAACCTGGCAGGAACTAGCAAGTACAAGAAGTCTCACAAGACCATCCCAGAAAGAATTCCAACCCAATTTTTAAACAGTGTTCTATTTAAAGATTTTCTATTTTTCTTAACAAGAGTAAAAGTGTGAAAGATAGTTGCAATTAACTGTCTATTACCCATAGATACATTTTTTTCCCAGTACGTGGGTTTACCATATCATTCTTAACTGAAAAAAAAATCCCTTTTCCTGTATATTTACAAACATATTCAATTCTATTTTTCAGCAATTTGCTTAAAGATATTTTCTATACAGTTTTTGTTATCACTAGTTTTGCTTTATCCAAATTAAACCAGCCCTTCCAATGCCCTAGGAACCTAAGAATTTATAAAGTGCAAGTCACTTCACTGTTTGAAGCGATGGCTGAAAGGAATGGGGTCCTGACAAGGCCACAGGGAAGCACTGGAGATACTCACTGGTCAGTAACATGTCATCTTCCTCTGGTCTCAATCTGAGACCAGATTTCAGTCTGAAATGAGTTTGTAAGCACATATACTTCTGTGAGGATGAGCTTTTTATTAGGCATCTGAGTCCAAAAATTGCTACTAACCCTTCATTTTGAATACAGAATAATGGACTGTATTGAATACACAAGAAGACAGCAGCTGCATTTGTCTCAATCCATTTTTTATAAGGTCCCATGATGCAACATTTTATGTGCATCCCTTGAATCCCCAAATCCATTCTTGTCACATACAGAGAGGCTTGCAATTGGTCAAACGAAATATGCTTGCTTTTAGTGAACTGTTAAACTGTCTGTGGTCCTCTTCAGATGCAATGTGGCTGGGCACCAGTTGTCAGTGCTTGACCATCAGGGCGTGAAGCAGTTGAGAGTATGATTAAACTGTAAGATGTATTATCTGCTTTTTGTTTTTATGCAAAACCCTCAGTGACTTGGATGCTGTTCTGTGCATAATAATGACATACAGGACCCCATCTCACAATTACTTGTGATGAAACACAATTGTAACAGTTTATAGCATCTTAATACCAAAGAGCAATATCTTTCTTACTGTGCAAATATCATCTAATACAACTGGAAGAATTTCGCTTTAACTGCACTTGTTGAACACAACCAGATTTTTGGCACTGAACAAATCAGAGCAAAAAGATCAACATCTTTATGAGGTGAATCTGATTTCTAGAAATACAGTAGATAAGCCAGAATTTTTTTTCCATGTTATCTCTGTGAAACATTTGTGATCTTTCACAAACTGCCCTCTGTGATTACTGATTATACTTTTCTAAATTAGACAAAGATGACAGAGTTATATAGCTATCTGTGCTTCACAAAATTGTTTCTACTTCTCGGAATTAAGTCACAAAGGCCAGCAAGTAACCAAAAAGGTCTATTTAAAGTTCTCTGGCAAGCATTCCTTCTTCATATACCTGTTACCAACTCCCTGACATTCCCCGGGATGAGGCAGGAAGCAGATCACAAGCAAATTTAATTTTTCTGGCAGCTCTTTCCTGTCTTTGGGAAAGAAGCTATCATTCATCATGGGGCCAGAAGCAAACATGTCAGACAAGCAAAATGCTGGTGTTTTCTATTATGTGACAGGTGCGCATCTCTTCAATGGACAGAACTAGGTACTCCAGCTCAATGCTCATACTGGAACAGATATGCAACCATGCAGAAAAGAACAGGGTATACAACCTTCAGGTGCACACCAGTGTCTCACTGAACTGAAAAAAATGGCTTTATATTTTATTAAATAATCCACTACTTCTTCAGAGAAGCTGGCATTTTCTCTCTTCCTGATACCTTACAATAACCTTATAATTAAAATCAGTTCTCAGTGTACATACTTTAAATGCTAGTGGCTTAATTAATATTAAAGTAAACAGAGAAATGAAATTACAACCTGAAGACTGTAGGCATATCTTAAAACAATAAAGTTGAGTCTTTAAAATTATGTATTCATTAGCATTGCACAAAGTTCTTCATTCAGCAAGAAAACGACTTGCTGAAACCTGGATACACACTACACTTAATAACAAAAAATCTAAACAGGGGCTAGAATTTTAAAAAGTAGCTGCATTGAGCTCCACCACAAGATTTTGTTGTGTGGGTAGCACAGACTGAAAGAAATCTTCCCCTTAGCTTTCATGCACTTTAAGCAGGTAGGTCAGACCTACACGTTACGAGCCAGCAGAAGCAGAGGGACCTTTTTTCTTCAGTCCAAGGGGGTTTCAGCAAACCTTTGCAGATGCATTTCACCTCAAAATAACTTGAAAGAACTTGGGAGCTTTGCCTCTTTTTCCTCTAATCATTCACTTCTGGACCAAAGCAGCTAAACAAGGGAGCAGATCACTACCCCACAAAGAATGCTATGATCTTGAATTATCAAAATGAGCCTGAACAGCATCTAAGTGAACAGAGCTCAAGATATGTTTTTGCACAAGAGATTTACTTGGCTGACTACAGTTATCCCTTCTGATTTCTTAGTTAATCTAATGCAGTTTAGATAATTACAATATAGTATAGTTTAATTTCTAAGAACATCAGTATTTGTCTTAAAAGCGGTCAGAAATGTTTTGATAAATGTTTCTTTAAATGCAAGTCTGGCGTTACAGTTAACAGTCCGTTCAGACATTTTTCACTTTAAGAAAGTGGGAACAGTTTAAAAGTTGTGAAATTATCCTGTTTCTATTTCAAAACTGCTCTGCTTCCAAAATTCATTTTAAAGTCAAAAAGGCAGAAAAGGTTGAAACTGAAAAAAAAAAGCATTCTAAATGCCCATATTTTAAATGACCCAATCCATCATTTTTGCCTCAGTTATTAGCTAATAAAATTTTTCCATAATTTTCACTTGTGATTCTAGTGGGAACAAGGCAGCTTTTCCTAAGAAACATCTCATGGAATGGGTTCCCATAAAGTGACTTTTGAAAGAAAAGAGGATCACTATATTTAACTGGTTTCTCATTAGGAGTACCTTTCAAGCAGCAATTTATGCAGCCATACCAGAGAAGTATGACCACTCCTCTGTCCTCTTGCACCAGCTCATGGAAGACTTGGGAGGGAAGAGAAGATTTGTAGGGCTGCTGCAACCATTGTATTTGTTCAGCCAATGGGTGGACCAAGCAATGTCCATGACCTGCACTGCACTGAGTATCTTTACCAGCTGGAGGAAAACGTGCTGTCTCAGGGATAAGCAAGGAGCGAGGCACTTCCCTCACAGAGGGAAAGGGAGAAGAGGAAGATTAATTAAGAGGGCAATAAATTTTAACTCTGTCGTACTCTTATTCACATCTTTTTTCCCCACTCTGCTTCTACAGTAGAACAACAAAGTCTTAATTTCTTCTGAGGATTAGATCATAAATCCTAGGAAATGATCAAATTTAGAAATAATTTAGCTCATGAAATATTTACTTTCGGAAAAACATGAAATGATAAAACATTACAAAAAGCATCTCCTTTCTTAACATACACTTTCCAGTGAGAGGGAGGGATATTTCTATCAGACGATCTGGTGGATTTTATCTAATTTTCTATGTTCCAAAACATGCAAAAAATCAATTACTGATAGTTTTGTTTTAATCCTGCAGGTCCTCCCATTTTATAAAGATTCTGAAAAAATCAGCAATAGCACAGAAATCGAGTTTTGAACAATGATAAACTGTGGAAAGTGTCACTTCAACAGTCTTCTAACTTTGGATCCCATAATGATGCAAATTAGAAACTGTTCCAAATATCCCTCAAATTAATCCTCATGCTATGCACAGTGTTGGAACTAAAGATTCTGGTTTAATCAAGCCAAACATTATTCATAAAATGGAAGAAATACTAGCATGATAAGTTGTCTCTCTTTAGTTTTTCCTGTGGACTACCTGCAGAGCTAAATCTCTGAATATGATCAGAATTAGAAGAGAATGCTTTGAGGTGAAGAAAGGCTCAGTGCAGTCTGCTTCATTAACACATCATTAAGATGCTTTATTTTCTTACAGTCACAGGAATACATTTAGCCAAGAATTCATAACATAAATACAAAAAAAAAAAAAAGATTATTTGTCTAAATTTTGTAGAAATGTGGGGGAAGTAAGGGGTGTCTACCTGAATTGTCACTAGTAATTTCGGGTTTTTTTAAGCTAAATAGCATATCTTACTAGACTGATGGAACTACCTCTCCCTCCCACTGAGAACGGAGTAGCTTCCTCTTGACTACTACAACAGTAGCTTACAAGTCAAATTAATATTGAGATACTCTTGGAAGTGTTTCCAGCTTCTTTTACTGTTACTAACAGCTGGATATAAGCATAAGATCCACGTGATCGGCAAATCAAGGATGAAAACAGCTAGAATAGTAAGATCATAAGGATAATCATTTATGGGAAGATTTCTACCGTACTTTACAACTTGTTTTGCCTTTACTGCAGTTATGAAAAGAGAGATCAAACTTGTCAGAATAATTGGAAAATATTTTAAAATTTATCTTCCTTGTTAGATTACACCTTGCAATTGCTTCTGATGGGAGGAAAAGGATGAAATCTTTCAGCGGTTTCTATGGTCCTTTTTCCTTAGCAGAAAGTGCAACCCCCGTTCTTTCACAATATGGGAAACAAGGATTTATCTTCTCATTCAAGACAGAGTCTTTCCAGGTTAATATAATAAATGATGTCTTTATTATCTGTGAATGAACATGATTCATCCACCTGTCAAAACCGGTAAAAAGAAGGAAATTAAAAGTGTTCAGTTTGTCAAATGGGGATGTACTTTAGACAGCCATCTATCCTCAGCTGGTTTTTGTGCAGTCTGCCGTTGTAACTTAATTTTACCCAGAGGTTCATCAAACATCTGTTTTAATCACTAAGCTAATTTCACTCTTTTTTTCTGTGGCATTCCAGTCTTCATGACATTTTAGACATCTCTATTCCAGATGATCCCAGTACTTCCAGTGTTTTGTCATGTACACGTGCATGACATAGATGAAGGTTATACTCACAGAATATTTTCTCACAGAATTTCACTTCTTTTCCTCTAAAGCACCTCACTGACATTTACACAAGTGTTAGAAAACTGGTATTTTGTGTCTTAGGGTTACATTTTTCATTCAATTCAATGACGCATTGGAATAATTTATTTGTAGTGGGTTCCTTTTGTAAAGCAGCAGCTGTCAAAACAGGCTTGATCACAGATGGACAAAACCATGAATTAGACAAAAAAAATCACACAGGACTTAAAATCAATGCTCTTATTGTTCTCTGCAGAACATCTGTAGAAATGACAATCTAAAAATGGTGTATTTAATAGCACAGGAGTTTTATATTTTACTGCTTCAGATTAAGGACAAACAATAAACATGGAGTTCCATAAAAGCCACCAAGCTTGGGTTATGCAAGGTTATTTTGGATTGGTATTTTAACCTTTTGTTAATTGGCCATAGATATATATTATTTTTAATTTCTTTAATATTATATAGCAGTTTTCTCAATTTTGTATTAGTTTTAAACTTATACGTAAACTGAGATAATATATGAGTAGAAACAGCATCTGTTATAAAGGGTTGTTAAAAATGTTACAAATGTCAAGACATTTCCCACTGAATCAATATATTTCCACTGAGTCTTGTCAAGTTACCTTAACTTTTATCATGTTTTCTCTTATGGATGTGTCACACCATGCAAATTCAGGCATTTAACTCAGCTGTATTAACCAGCTAGAGACCCAAGGTTCCTCATATGCACAGTGGAGAGAGATGAGTTTCCCATCCTGTGCTTCACAGCAAGAACATATGAGTCAGATTCACAGTCTGTCTGCAGAAATGTATTTATGCTTATTTACATGGCCTTCATCACGCATATTTGAAGCTTGACAGACACCAACACTTATGGACTTGTGCCAACCGTACAGGTTTATACTCCTCTAGTTTCTATCCAGAATCTCTTAGCAAATTTACACTTTTAGGAATTAATCCCAAGGCCACTAAATGTAAAGGTAACCTTTCCATGACGATCTACAAGTTTTGGATCTAGACACCTGTTTTCAGTATTAGTGGTCCTATTTTTTTTGTTTATCAGTCAAAATATTTTGACAATGACATAAAAATAAAAGCTTCTCAATACGTTTTCTGCTTAATCTGTGCTCAGGGAATAGTTAATTAAGTAAATTTAACCTCTCTCTCAAAAAATGCATAATGACTTCTACTACTCTTGTAAGCACTACTAATGTTTAGGAAAACAGAAGTTCCTCAAAACACTTTGGAGAAGTTTTAACTACTCTTTATTCAAACAGAAATGTGTCTAAAGCTAGTATTTCAATGAGTTGCTAGTTGGAAGTACACCTGGCTTGTAATGAATGCTATGTTAAATTTTATTACTGTCAACATTTCAAAAAGGGAACCATTGCTTTTAAATAGTACTTTAAGTTCCCCAGCTTATTGCTCTGTTGTCTCTGAACAAACTCAAGCCATAAAAAAAAAAAAAAATTCAGGATTCTAAAATCAGCTGTAAAGTGAGTAAGCACCTAACAGAAGTCTAAGTTTATTTTCTTTTTCATTTCTTTCATTTCTTTTATCCTCAAAAAAGATCATAATACCAAATTTCAAATAAGATATTATATAATGTATTAGTTTGCTTTTCAAGTGCTTCTTTTGGTGTTATGCATTAACTGAGAAATCTACAAGCAACTTTGAGTTTATTCAGACAATGTATATATGTGTGCACTAAGATATCACATTTTTGTCCTATTCAGACAAGTAATTTAATTGTATGAATGCACGAGCTATTATGATGATGTCCATAAGACTCTGTGTGGAAACATGTTTTTATTTGCAGCAAAAAATAAAAGCACTGTGAAAAGGACTATTTGAATTCAGAGCTACTGTATTAGCATATTAATTTGGGTTTTTTCTTCCTGAAAGTCATTATCTGAAGAATAACAAATAATTTAGAAAAAAAGGCAACTAACAAGTGAAATTTAGTGTTAGAAGCTGTGTGATTTAGTATAATTTGAGTGTTCAGTTTTGGGCTTCATAAAAGAAATGCAAAAGAGGTGTTTATTAATCTTGTCTTTAGAGGTCAAAACCAAAACATTCCCTTTACTACAAGCTAAGGTGAACCAATGGTGTAAATGAAAACTCACTGTATAGTTTCCAGTCAAGTAATATTTTCTGTGTTTCAATACTCAGAAATACATTTCTTTTGTTATAGGTGCTTGCCATAAAACTGACTGGTCCGAGATGTTAAAAAAAAAAAGTACCACACATTTATGTAACAAAGTATTGTTCTGACTTAAGCCTACACATACAAAAAAGTCAGAACTTAAATACAGTTCACCTAAACATGTTTTTCTCCATCAAACAGGATTTTTTGTCTTTACTATGTCATATCTATGATATGCCATTACCTTGGTACTCACTTCCCCTGATTTAATCCAAAAGACCATGGAAATCAAGCCTGATCCAATTCAGCAAGCCTGCTTACTTCAATTTTTAGTGAGAAAAATGTTTTTCTGCCACACTCTCTCCCCCATATAATTCCTCTGCTTGAATTAGCAGGTATTTTATCAAGCTATACAGACCTATTTTTTAATTCTGCAGGCAAGACTGCCCTCTAAACCAGACATATCAAACCTTTGCACAATTATAAGTGGGCACATGTTGACTTTTCCAATTAAATTAATTAAATAAAAATGTGTATTTTAAAACATTATAAAAATCACCTGCTAGAAAGAAAGGGGAAAAAAATTATGTAAAAGACTGATGACTTTAATTTCTTACTTTTAAGATCTTCCAGATCTCGCAGGTTTGCAGTTTTGAAGATTGATGCTGGTATTATTGTTCTTTCCCACCTAACTTGTCATTTTCACCACTATCAGCTGGAGAAAAACTCACACAGTTGACATTTACCTCTGCCTTTCCGTAGGAACTGAGAGAAGGAGAGTTAAATGTCTGACATGTTTTGTACTGCTCACAATGACTGATATCAGGAAAGATCCATGCCAATTGAACAAGGAATAACAGATATACAAATATGCAACATCTAACTTCTCATTAAAAGATCAGGAAAATATTTTATTTTTGCTCTGAGATAATAATTAGTGAATTGCGCTTTATATGATTTTACATATACTTCATTCACTCCTCCTATTCTTTTTTTTTTAAGTTGTATGTGTCAACCAGATAGAAAAGTAATTCTTTTCATTCTGCCCAGGCATTCTTCTTCATTTTTTTTGACAAATGTAAGTTGATCTTCTTAGACTTTTGAAATGCAACCATTTATATCAGATCTGTGGATGATAACAAAGATTTATAGTGCTTCATGTAACAGGCTAGAACATCACTGAAGGGTAATAATAAATGTTAGAAGAAACAGTCGTTCAGGGATATATTGAGAAAATGTCAACATTATTATGCCAGCCACACCACAATCATACCCAGTTTCATGTGTTAAAATACAGGAAACCTACCTTTTGAATCATATATTTTATTATCTGTGAATCCTGAGAGTTTGTTTGCAATTAGCATTCAGAATTATTCATTTGTAAGAGGGAAAATATTGTAGTGTTACAAGTATTGAGAGACAAAAATAAAAAAACGATAGTATTTGATTTGTAAACTTATCATCACTTACCTTCTCTGCTGATTGGGCCGTACCAAAAAAGATTGGAATAAAAGCTAACCAAATTATGCAGGTAGTGTACATAGTAAATCCAATGGGTTTTGCTTCGTTGAAGGTCTCTGGAACCCCTCTTGTTTTAATAGCATAAACAGTGCATGTGACCATCAAGAGAATACTGTATCCAAGGGAACAAATGAGAGAAAGATCTGAAATGTCACATTTGAGAACTCCCCTGGCATTTTCTGGTTCAAGTGTCCTCTGTTCTCCATAGTCTACGATGATATGTGGTGGATCGATAGCAAACCAGATGAAGACTCCAATAAGCTGCATGGATATGAGGCTGAAAGTGATCACCAGCTGGGAAGCTGGACTAATAAATTTGGGAGCTGTGACAGATTTTTTACCTTGTTCAAATATTCTGTGAATCCTGTTTGTTTTGGTAAGCAAGGCAGCATAGCTGAAACACATGCCGAGTCCTAAAAAGATCCTTCTAAATGAGCAGACCACTGTATCAGGAGTTGCAATCATTAAAAAAGTAATGGAGTAACAGAGAAAAATCCCAGTCAAGAGCACGTAACTGAGCTCCCGTCCAGAGGCCCTGACGATCGGTGTGTCATTGTACCGGACAAATGTCACAATCACAAAGGTGGTGGCAATTATACCGAGAATAGCTATGAAGACGGGCACGACGGCCCAAGGAGAATGCCATTCCAGTTTGATTATAGGGATAAGCTGGCAATCCGTACGGTTGGTGTTTGGTCTCTTATTAATGGGGCACAGTTCACAGTTGAATTCATCCACCTGGTAATGGTACCCCTCACAGCGTTCGCAGTGCCAGCAGCAGGGCACTCCCTTCACGGTTTTCTTTCTTTCCCCAGCTTTACAGGGCAGGCTGCAGACAGATGCTGGGTGAGTGTGTTCTCTGTTAGCCCACTGCATGTCTTCTACCTGTGGGTATAAAAAATTAATGAGCCTTCTATTTTCCCCCATTTATAATATCCTAATCCTGGCCACAGGTTTGCCATAAATCACTGCATGCTGACAGTACAAATACAGTTTACCATAATAAGAAACCTGTTTCTTTTCATTGTACTGACTTTATGAAAGTGTTAAATGATTGTGTCCAATAAATCATTCATGCTACAGGCTTGATGAGTGTCATTAGTTTCTATTTACCTCTTTACTGCTGACCAAATTGACATCTGTAAAGATATTTATTGACTCAAGGCTAGTTTAAAAGCAAAAAGCCCTGTACACGGTGCTTTAAAAGTTAATCACATGCAAATATAAATACCAGTAGTTCTCAAACATTTAATTACAAAATAAGGCTATGTGAGTTTCAGATAAGTTTCTGGTACAGTAAAGAAATAGTATCAACGCTGGCAGAACAGAGTGCCAGAAAAAAGATCCGTGATGCCACCTCTTCCACGAATGCGGGTATTTTATATTTTTCCACTTTCTAAGTCTTGAAATGCACAAGAATGTTTTGTTTATATTTCTAGAAGATAAAAATGAGTATATACTGCTTTCTGAATAATAATGGAAAAAGATGTCATGGCTACTACTTTAGTCCTCCTGGTTTAAAAAGTCCAAGGATCTTTTTGTAGCATAGAACAGATGCACACAATGCAGTCTTGTTTTGGAAATCCCAGATTTCTCCACAGCAGCACGTTAACAAAATATACTTTTTTCATCCACTTCTCTACTCCTCCTGTATGCCCCCCCCAAAAACCCCCCAATAAAGTCTGAATAGGAAATTAATGGATTTAAAGTATCTCCATCTTAAATTTATCACTCGGCTTGGTCCCAGCTCTCCTTAGCCCACCCTTAGTAAAACTGTGTTCTGCAAGAGGTTACACTGAGTGAACCAGAGCAGTGCATGGAGCAAAGAGCTACTTATAGGCACCAGAATCATTCTGTGTTGCTCCCATGCTCCACCTTTCACTCCTTTGTTATGTGGCAAGCACTCAAGGACAAAGGACTTGCCTTGTTCTTGCCTATTAAGTGCTTAGCGCTTTTGTTTAATTTGGAGGCTTTATTTATAAGCGAAACAAGAGTAACAAAACTTCACGTGTCAGGAATGTTTTCAGTTCCTTCTGGAGGAGAACAGAATGAAGACAGCTTATCAAGAGGGATAATTTTGGCCTTAACAGTTTATTTTTCCAGCAATTTTTCAACAGATTTGAGAGAAAATCACAATGTAACATTGCCCGCCTCATTTGCCTTCCTCAGAGAGCCAGAGCACCAGTTACAGCACCACGCAGGGTGAATAAAGCAGCAACAAGCAGTCGGGCTCTTTGTCTCCTCTGTCCACTCTTCTGCACAGTGTAGGACTTTGCTGTTATTCACCACTCAAAGTGGCAAACAAGGGGCCACACAATAATGAGGAGACAAGAAACTCACTCATACAACCAGCTCTGTGAATTCCCAGAGTCACTCAAGGACTTCAGTGGGGTTTGGATTGGTCCTGAATCTACAAAAGTTAACCATATTTTATATCAAGGACTGTGCTAATTACACAACATGCAGCATCTGGTGACTATCTGAAAGGAAATAATTTAAGTAATTAGCTTCCTAAAAACCATAAGAATAATCCAGTTGCATGAAAAAACTTTGATAGAGCCCTAGCAGAGCACTTGACACTTTAAGAAAATATTCACCTCTGTTACTATCTCTTGGTTTTAATCACTGAAATTCTCAAAGCCTGCATAACCCCTACTGTTTCATCTACTAGGTGAGAGAGAAAACATGTTATGATGAAATCAGTGTGATAGCAAAGACATATTCTCCTTCACAGTGTTGTTTGGAGAATAAATAGATCAAAGCTTGTGATTTAGTCAGATATTATGATAAGGGGGCAACAGGAGGCCATGGTCATTAATCCAGATCTGTGGATAAGTTTGGGATGGCTCAAAAAAGAACAGTACTGCATATCTGCCAGACTATAGCACACAATACAGAATCACCAGGAGAGTACACAACGCCTGATCCAGCATAAACTTAGAATGGCATGGACAGGCAATATCTAATCTGGCAGAAAGCCTGACAGGATAAAGCTAAGGTGTCCAATTTTTTTAACACATTTGCACTAGCAAAGTGAGTTTATACCAGATCAGCATTTAATACCATGAGACTACAGTGTTTCTTATCTGGCATTAAGCATCCTAAAGCCACATTTACTGTATTGTGAATCCACGGCTTAGACAGGTACACAGAATTCCTCTGTGTCTTTCAGAGTTTCTACCTTAACAAAAGAAAAAAGAAAAAAAAAATCTTTTTATTGTACAGCTACTTATGATTTCACATACATTTGTCTTAATGGTGCTTTAATTGACTAAAAATATGCTTAAAAACTCTTCCTGGTTGGCAATACATTAGAGTGCCTCAGGTTACGCATCCCAGTGGCAACAACAGATAATAAATTCCTATTTCCGAAGGTTGCTGGTAAAGATTCATATTATGTTTTTCATTCTAGTACATCTGACACATAAACTACACAAGATATAATTTCCAGCATGGCAATACAGGGTTAATGAATGTTGGAAAACTCACTGGCTAAAAAAACTTGAGTCTTTTTTTTTTTTTAAATAATTATGAATATAAGCACTATTAGCTGTTAGCAATGGAACGATTCAAACAAGAATGGACTCTTAAAGCACAAAAAAATTCTAAATCAATGTAGAGAATAACCAGAATGAATGGCTGGTGCAGGTGCATTTTACAAGGTATACAAGTTATGTCTTACAACCTGTCTCGTCTGGATTACTTTTTTTAGGCAAAAACTACAGTTACATTTAGGTTGACCTACATTTCTGAAAAAGCTCTTAACAAAAATGTTAAGAGTTCTTGCTCATGAGCTTTTTATTTCATTTTCTATCTAACAAGAAAAAGAAGATATATTCCCAAGACATGTTGGCCAGTGTTTGACATTAGAGATCTCCTTTCAGATACTTGCAGATCTGAGATTCTGGCATTGTAGGATTTTAACTCTGGAAGTGGGTGCAAAGATGGGATTCTCCCATGAACCCAACCATCCGGACAACTCAGTTTATAGCTACATTAACAAGCAACGTGGCATAGTAAGAGCCGATCTGTGGAGCAAAGGTGTTGGCTCTGAGGACCTGATGTTCACATTGGTCAGTATTAGAGTCTGGGAAGGAAGGTTATATTGAGCTAATTTTGACGTAGTTCAGTCGACTGAACAGCCGGTAATGATTAAAGAAGATTAGATGTCCTTCTGGAAAGCATCTTCTGTTTTCATTTCAGCCAAAAGCAATCCAGTTCACATAGCCTGAGACACACTCCACAATGAGCGAGCGTGCTAACTGGGAAAATTAGCAGATTCATTTCAAAAGCAGACTCTTGACTGAAACCAAAATGCTAATGTGTGTACACCCTCAGACTGCTACTTAGACACTACTGTAATAGAGGCAGAGTAAAGGCCAGGGGAAACTATGCGTCAGAGGAAGCACTGCTTGCTTTTGTTACATCCGAACAGGTCTGCTAAGGGTCTCTGTGTATGCAGCAATTAAAGACTGAAAAGTCATGCTACTTCTGGTCATCTGGTTCATTCCCAGCTATCCATAACCTGCAGCACTCTTTGCCGGTAATGTATTTTTGAGTTATTATTTTGCATAATATGAATGTAATAAGGAAATACAGTACAAGACCTAGTTACAACAATGGTCTTAAAGCTCTATCTGGTTTTTCAGTCACTGAATGTATATACTAAAGGATCCATCTTCTCGAACCCATGCAGAAGATTCACCCGTGTCATTATTTTTCTATCCTTAGATTATAGTACTGTTGATAGTAGAAACTGTTAAGAAACAAGAAAGTGAAGGAGGATCATTTGGGAACATAGAGCCAGGGACATTCAGAACTGCTGAAAACCTGTAATAGTCATAAACTTTAAAGGGAGTTGCTGGATGCTCAGCCTCTTTTGAAAATCATATTTTTATATGTAGACATAAACACTTAGCAGTGGAACTTTCAAAAGTGCCAGAGGGAACTTGTTCAATCCAGCTAATTAATTTAAGTGTGAGCTAAGTGCTTTATCTGTTTAAGTGCTTTTGAAAACCCCACTATGCTTCCATCTGCAATTTTCACAATCTAAATACTTTGGAAAACCTGCCCCAAAGTGATCTAGAAGTTCAAATGTTACAAAACTGACTTCAAGGGAGCTTAACTTTAGGCAGACATTTTTAAACAAAATTCTCATGGGGGAAAGAAACTGACAAAGCCAAAGCCAGGCAGAAGAAAGACAGAAAAGAAGGGAGGTTTTGACATTGAAAAAGAATGAAAAAGTTCTGCATCTCTTCAGCCCTTACTGATCAAAATATCTGGGTCTGCAGCACTCTTTACGCTGCTCAGACCCTGCTAAGGCTGAGTGAGTCTCAGATTATTAAGTAGCCTTAGGTAAACTTAGTTTCTAGAAGACTTATTTTGTCACCTTCATTTTCATGTGACATCTTCTAGCTGCTGTTCACTACAGTATGACACATGACAAGACAAAGTTCATTGTTAAATGTATCTGAATTCATCATCTAGGTCAGATGGACTGGAATAGCCTAGCTCTGTATCTATTATTAATAACAGTTTAAACATTATTATTGATTTTATTCGAGTAGCTTCTCTGAATTTGGAAAGTGTCTGATAGATTGATGTGCTGTCATGAAGTACCTCACATTCCCCTAAGATGAGGTTCCATTTTCTACTATTCCAATACTTACCGGAGTGAAAACATCAGAAAGAGTATGACAGCATGTCTGTAAGACTCATTTTCTATGAAATGGATCATGATACAAAAAGAGAATGGCTTCACTGCTATTTAAATAGACATGAAAATCATCTCTATATGAGATATCTGCCTGACGGAGCTGCAATTTGCTTTAATTCGCAGCACTAAGATTCACAGTTCACTAAACCATTAAAATACAGACAAAATG